CTGAGTTTGAAATGCAGTGCACGGGGCGGGGGGTGGGGGAGAGAGGGATTGTTGCAGTTAACCGGGACAGTTAACTGGTCTGCAGTTCCTTATCGGTTCAACGGTTAGCCGGCAGTTAATCAGTTAAACTTTAGATTTAACCAGTTAACCGCTCAAACAGGGGGGCAGCTCTGGCATGGCAAGTCGGGGGGCTGGAGAGGGCCCCCCCAGGCAAGCCAGGCCTGCCACAGGCAGGGTTACTCCAGCCGGGTTGGAGCACCCCCCACCCCACCCGCAGCGTGACATGCTGGGCCATGGGTTAACGGTTCACATTCCTACTGTCAGCACAGCGGGGTCAGTCCAAGGTGTGGTTTTTTCACACGTGGCTACACTGACATACCACCGGCAGGTAGCCCAAGCCTGGATCCAACGGCTTTGAGCTCACAGAGAGAACGAAGAGCCATTGACTCAAGTTCGAAACCCAGCATCTCTAAGATGGGGACATGCCCCAGGCTGACTTGCTCAGGGGCAGGCAGCCGATTAGTTAAGATTTGCAGAGTGCTTTGAAAATGAAAAGTGCCGCAGACAGGTTGAGCATTGGTGTTTCTTGCGACGTGGAGCAACCTCCGCACACAATATTTCCTTTCCACGACGATTTAGATTCAGGGCTGACAAGCTGGCCTGAGACGCCACCCAACTTACACGAACACACAAAATCTGCTATGGCTGCAGAATGAAATTCTAGGTTTCCTTTGAGACTTTGACCCTTAAAAAGAAAACTCCATTATCCAAGCAAGCCAAAGGTCTGGAAAAACAAAGATTTTCCTTCATGATAAGCTGCTGTTACTCCACTAGAGGTCCCTGACTGTGCATTCTGAAGAAAACCAGTTATTTCCTCTCTCCACGCAAACTAACCGCCACCAAAACACAACAAAAGGATTGAGCTGAGCCGGTCACTCAGACACTACCGACAGATGCCATGCATCCATGCCTGTTCTACATGCACAGAGCTGCTGGTGACTATTAAGCATCTGCGGTAAGGATTCTCCCAACTAGTCATTCACAGAGGAAAACGCATGACCGCTTTCCTGCTCTACAAAAACACTTCAGGTCATTAATGGGAGCAAAAATAAGAGCCCTTCTGATGCAGTAACAGCACAGCTGGTGCCCATGGTCTGCATGCTCACTCAAGCCTCTTTCATATCTTTGGGATGTAAAGAAGACAGAAAGAGCATTTATCTTCCGCCTCCTACCCCACTGCACTATGGTTATTCTCAGCGCGTCAAAGAACTTAGGTCTGCCAACGGTCATTGTATCTTCATGCCTTCCACATCATAACTCAAAAATAGCCTGGATGCTTCTATTCATGGCCTCAAGTGATTTTAAGAGCTAACCCTCCTGCGGCTCCGCAGAGGCGCCTATCAACTAATCATATAGTCGATACAAATTGCATTGGCTACAGGCAGTCCCTGGGTTACGTTCAAGATAGGGACTGTAGGTTTGTTCTTAAGTTGAATCTGTATGTAAGTCGGAACTGGCGTCAGCCGCTGCTGAAACTGATCAGTTTCAACCACGGCTGAATCTGGACGCCAGTTCTGACTTACATACAGATTCAACTTAAGAAACCCAGGCGTCCCCAAGTCAGCTGCTGCTGAAACTGATCAGCGGCTGATTCCAGGAAGCCTGGGGCAGAGCA